AGCTCCCCTAGGCAAAAGTCAGATTCTCCTGACAGCCCCATTTCCTTTTTAGCAAATTATATGTGTCAAGATAAAAAACAGCGGAGTAGCAAACTCACAATTTAGCTGTTACACTTCGACGTCACCATCTCTGTCTCCTTCGTCAAACGTATCGCATATAAATACATAAAGGTTTCTACATGATGTATGAACGTTTGAAACGGAGTAAAATGGACGTGCCCGTTGCAACCCTGCACCTGCTCCCTGGTACACTGAAATGCCGATGCAAGCCTGCATGCTAGTAACGGCCGTACGGCAGCCCCTGGGAATGTGATCCGTAGCCGTGCTGCGGCCAGCTGTGTTGAGGGAAGGAAGGGTGTCCTTGTTGGGGCTGCTGGTAGTTGCTGCCCCAGGGTTTTTCGTGCCACTGATCAGATCTGTACCCTCCTGGCTGGTCATATCTGTTTCCCCTGCTTCGGAATTGCCTGCTGTCTCTAAATCTGTAAAATGGAAACATGGCATGCTAAAACACAGATTTATTTTCAGAGTACATCACCGGCATTATCCTAGCAGGGCGCATACATTTTGAAGAAGAAAGATACCATTACAGTTATGCTGAGTGAAATGGGGCTTATCTGTGTAAATGAAGAATTAATTTGATGGTTTGTCAAGTATTTGCATTCTCCTCAATTTGAAGATGTTGGATTTCTGTCATTTAGAAAGTGTATGGAGAGCTATGAATTTAGAACTTTGAGTTTCTTCCCCCCCCCATCCTTTTTCTTTTGCCAATTTAACCTGGTGCCTCTCTGGATATGTTAAGAACTGTAATTCACTGAGTAAGAACTGTAATTCTTATCTCTCCCATCTGGAGTTGAGGGGAGTCTAGTCCTCCCCAGCCAGAGAAAAGTTCAGTTAAGGAAGGAAGGGGACAGTAAAGCAAATGCAGGCAATTAGCACAAGCAGTGGTGCGACAAAATTTGGCAGCCCCTCTTTCCTGGTTCTTGCCATCTGAGACAGGCAGAAAAGGCAGGAAATTCAAGCCCGTTTGGGAAGAGTTGCTGGGCAGGGCTGACGCATTAACTCTGGCAGATCACAACTTGTGAGGCCTTCCCAATATCCCAGCTCTCTTCACCACAAAAACCAGTCTGGCCAACAGACAGGGATGATGTAAAACACTATCTAGCAACTTCTGAAGGGCCACACCTTGTCCATCCTTGTCCTAGAGAAGCAAAGCCAAGAGACGAGATGTTCTGAAGACACCATGTAACTTCTTGGCTGACATTATCCCCCCCCTCCCCACTGGGTGGGGTGCCACAAGCAGAAAGAAGCCAACATCTAACTTCTTAATGTCAATCTAAAATATCCTTACGATATTATATTCAGAAGTACAATAGAGCAGTTTTCCAAAGGAAAGCAATTCTTCTCCATCTTTATCAGACAATCAGAGGTACATCCTTTTTTTTTAAAGGAGGTGATTGGAAAGAGGGACAGTTTTTCTTTCAAGTTTTCTTTAAACTTCTCTTCAAAAAACCCCAGCTGAATTAAAACAATGCTTGGGCATTTGGAGTCCAGATCATAAGGCAGTTAACTGTTTGGCTTCTCTTTTCATCTGACTACTTTGCATTTGGTCACTTGATGTTTAAAACTAACTCTGGTAAGGTTTTTTTTTAATTTTAAAAACAGAACACCTTGTTCTTTATTAGCCACTTCTGCTCTCTAGTAACTGGTAAAGAATGAGATGAAAGCAGCAACCAACCAGATAAGGTTTCTCATCAAATTGATATGATTTTCCCAAGGATTGCTGTCTAAATAATATTTTAAGAATGTATGGGTAAATGAGGCTGAGGCCTGTCAAGACCACAGCTACATACCGAAGACTGTGGGTTCAGTCTCTCGGATTAGTAGCTGGGCTGAGAAAGGCCTCTCTCGAAGACAGTTGGAGAACACTAAGCAATCTGATTATATAACATACTTCATACTTGGGACTTTTTTCATTTCGGAAGGGAGCCTTCACACGAAACCTCTCTATGAACCATCTCACACGCATGCAGGGGTGGCTCCAGAACGGGCAACATCCACGGAGTCTGCCTTCCCGTCACCCCCATTTATGTATCTTTTAAGCTTAAGGTAAAATACACTATTTCTGCTTCAGTTACTCTAAGATGCAAGACACAGTTCACTTGCCAAGGATGCTTTGCCCTTTCTGTGTTTGGCTCTCCCTGCTTGTCCTAGGGGTTTTTTTTTTTTCGGCCTGGTCCCACCACCATCCACTTTGCCTAAGACCCGGAGATTCAGAATGAGCAACACAGCATCCTCTCCGCTTTTCTAAAGGCCAACCGCCAATGTTAAGTTCAAGCTAAGGACGGGGCAGAATGTAAAACCAGAAGTTGAGGAATTGGATCCAGAGAGGTCTGTTAGGTGTAAAATCTCAAGTGCTGAATAGCGGACTGGGGGGAGGGAGTAGAAGGATGCATTTTCAGCAGTTACCAGAAGTCGCAAGTAATAAAGATCGAGCACTATTATTTAAAAATGAGTATGGGGTGTTTTTTTTTGACCACCAGGAAAAAAAGAAATAGTCTGTTGCTTAGCACAATTAGCTTTCTTGTAAATAACTATGCCATGGAAGACAAGCCATTTGGCTGGTCAGAAAAAGCCTGAAATCCTCTTCTCTGCCAAAAAAAATACTACTTGACAACCAGGAAGCAGTTGGTGCTTTCAAAAGCTTCGGTTCATTCCTCTTGGCCTCAAAAGCTCTTTGCTTTGCACCAATTGTTCAAAGGCTCTAGGTTAGTGTTTCTCAACCTTGGCAGTTTTCAGATGTGTGGACTCCCAACACCCAGAATTCCCCAGCCAGCCAGGGTTGAGAAGGTTGAGGTTGAGAAACACTAGGTTGAGAGGTTGAGAAACACTAACCTGGATTTTCCCTATCATTGGCCTGGAGAAAAAATGACCTCAAAGCACCAGCAACCCAGAATGACCAACCAAGGGCTGTGTCTTCAGCCAGGCTAACCAGTAGTCTATTTTTCAAGGAGGAGGAGTGAGATCTTGGCCTCGCCCACTGGCTGGATTCACACACTTCTAATCCACATTTGGTTTCAGTTTAGTGCAGTGTTTGAACTCAGCCACAATCCTTTTCAGCTACCCGTTCTGAAGTCAAACAAGCCTTTGCCCAAAAAAAGCAACGCCATGTCCCAATTTGCAGACCACACTAAGCCACCATTGCTAAACAGTGGTTTGTTGACAAAGGCACCATTGGATGAGCTCACACATCATGCTAAACCAAATTCAGCCCAACATTACACCCCTATGCAGTGTATAAATTCAACCATAAAAAGAGTCCACATTTTTCCCCCTATCAATACAATAAAAACTTTAAAAAGAAAAGCAACTATAATACCGATCTCTGTATCGCTGGTTACCACCCGATCTGTTTCGCCAATCTTCTAGTAAGGGAGGTGGATCAGCAGGGCGTTGAGCATACTTCTGGTACTCCTCATCTTCTGAAGTGAATCGATGTGCAAACTTATTTTCGTAATTCTGGAGGATCTCAGACACAGAAGGCACACTTGGTTCTCTGCAAGTTCAAAAAGTATCTCATAAAATGTCTGTAAAAGTTAAGAAATTAAAGTTACTGACAAACTGGATTTGCAAGGTGTCCGTTTTAGTAGAGGACATTTTTATGGAAGAAGGGGATAGAAATGCAATAAATAAATACGCATACATCGTTGAAGTAAATGGCTCACTCAGACTTGGCTGAGGAACTACTTGCTTTGAAGTTGGAAATAACTTCTAAGTTCATACAGAACAAAAATTGTACCACCTCTGAACCATCAGGTTGAATAAAGCTCCCCAGCTGTTTATGGTAGCTCACTGGGTCAACCTTCTGGGTATTTTATCTGCTTTTGGAAGGCACATATACAGACAATATACAGCATACAGTTGTGACGTTGCTGCAGTAAAGCAGGCTTTGCAAGTAGATGCAGCGTTTCAATCTCCTGAAAACCTGATGGATCCAATGCAGAATTGGGATTAAAAAAAAAAGACACAATCTTAAATGTTTTTCTGGGCTTCCAGTCACAGGGAGGTGGTGACATGTTTGGCATTTAATCATTTGCAGCTTTCAACAATGTGAAAGAATTTCAGCAGTTGTGGGAGGCTATTTATACAATTACTAGAGAGATATTTTCCTAGAAAACAAGGCCACTGTCCCAATTTTGTGACCGACCAGGTTGTAATCCCTAGGTAATTTCTAAAGAGTGGTTTAATCATTCAGTTGCTCCTAGCTCTTTGTGACCTTGTAAACTCATCCTCAATAAATTTCTAAGCTAAGCTAATAATACATTTCTAATACATTTTTACTGGTATTCATACATATATATTTACTGCATGTATATCCCCTCCTTCAAGACATATAGGCTTAATGTTGCTGGTTTGGTTTTGCCCATATATTGTATGAACTTAGCTACTTTGATCTTAAGCCATTAATGTGTTTGCAAAGTTATACAATTTTAGTTTATTCAAAAACTATGGGTAAATAAAGCACAGATTAGTAGGGCGTGCATGAAGCTCTACAGCTGTTTACAGTTTTATTATCATTACCATTTATATAGCGCTTTAGAGGTTTTTTGATTTTCCTGTATGGAAACCCCATGCTCTTAAAACTACAGTATTTGCAGAACAGCTTACAATTAAAATTATGTTTTTAAAAATGCAACTAAAATGTACAAATAGGGACAGGAAGGCAATAGCCATTATAATAAACATTAAATATTAGATTTAAAGCACTATAAATAAGTTACTTTATTTATTTATTAAACTTGTCCCCACCCATCTTCCCCCAATGGGGGACTCTGGGAAGCTCACAACATATTAAAACAATAAATAGATATACAATTAAAATCTATAACAGTATACATTTACAGAAATAAAAGGAAAAAAAGGAAAAATGGGTTGTTATACCCATTATACAGGTCAGAATGTAGCAAATATTCTGCAGCAGCCAATTCAGGTACTGGGAACTGTCTCTTTAATCTTAGACACAATATCTGATCTCTTGTCATGATTCTTCTTGCATTTTCTGTTTTATCTTTATGCACTTGAGCAAACAAAAATGTAGGCAGATAATCTTTTATGGTTCTCACTATGCCACATTTGTAAACCACTAACATAGGTAGCAGAACATAGCCACATTTTTATCAAAGAAAATGGAAGGAATTTGCATTCAGCACTTCGATCTCTAAAACTATTTCAGAGTAGTGTACACAAAAACAGATATTCTTAATCGTGAAACATACAAATGCAGACACAGTCATTTAAAATAAATGGACCCTAACTACTGTGGAGCTATCTATATTTCGGCTTTATGGTTTCTTTTTCATTTTGCTATCTTGGTTTGGGCTCTGCCTTTATAGCATACACTGCACAATTATGCCTCCCCACAGCCATCCAATGAATATTAAGATAAGGAACATGTAACAGCCAGACCTGTTCATCCAGTCTTCAACTATAGGAGGTGAATCAGCAGAGCACTGGAGGTATTTTTGATATTCCTTATCCTCTACAGTATATCGATAAGCAAACATGCTTTGATAATTCTGAACAATGTCAGTGGTAGAAGTCATTCTGGAATTCCTGGAAATATTTTTTAAAAACCTGTTATTTTCTGAAAGTCAAACACCTATGTAAATTATTAACTTGATATTGTTAACAATCTGGCTATACAAAACCAGTTCAACATGAGTAAGTTTCTCCTTCCTGTATTAAGTGACAGCTGTCCTTTAAGGACTGTGGGCACATAAAATATGTACATAGTCTGAAGGAGTGCGTAATGGACATACTGGAACATGCAAATACGCTTTGAAAAAGAGCAAAACAAACAGTAAGCATTGTTTAACTTTGTGGTACATAACCTTCGAAGACACATTATTGCAAGCAGATACCAGGACAATGTAAGAGGCACTTAAAAAGGTAATTATCAGATTGTCATTGCTGTCTAACAAGTGAAAGTAACAGTCCAAGAAAAGGATTTGAATCAAAGCACAGAAGATGTTGGATAGAATACTCAGCCTCGAATAAATGCAACTTTTGAGCAGGAGCAGAATACTTCACTTTCCCTTCAGCTATATCCATTCTTGCGCTAACTCGCCCTTGTGGATGAGGTTATTGGAAGCACATTCATTTCTGAGTAAATGTGCTCAGGACTAAACTTCAAAAGGGCAACAGATGTTTACAGTTGCTCACAAGATAGCAGGACACCTAGTAGCCATCCCCTCTCATTGCACGTATCCAGCACCACCTGTTTTAAAAGGCTGCGTTGATCTGCGGGAGAGGCAGTCTGGTGTACTGGTTAAGGCATCTGGCTAGAAACCAGAGGAGCATGAGTTCTAGTCCTGCCTCGGGCACAAGCCAGCTGGGCGACCTTGGGCCAGTCGCCCTCTCTCCCAGCCCCAGAGAGAAGGGGACCATGGCAAACCGTTTCCAAAAAAACTTGCCATGAAAACTGCAGGGACTAGTCCAGGCAGTCGCCAGGAGTCAAAAACACTTGAAGGCATGTGCGCAGGTGCGCACACACAAGCTATGGAGTCTTTATCCATACAATCTTTAAAAACAAAAAACGCTTCTTGCAAGGGTCATTCTGGAAAAAGCTATGATTTTCTACTAGATTTAGGGCTACTAAACATCAGGGATAGAGTATATCGCAACTTCTGCTATCAGAGGCAACAGGGCTCCCGACCAGCTGCAGAGGAAGAAACAAGGGAGCGCGTCGTTGCCTTCCTGTCCCGCTTTTCCCAGACCTCTAGCCACCTGCCGCGGGTCTAGAAATTACACAACGGGTCTGGCATCGCAACATTACACAACGAGCCACCACGGGGGTGGGAGGCAGAGGGAGCAGAGAGCCGGAAAAGAAAGCCATCCTGATCTGAGCCGGATCCCGCTCCTCCCGGCCGCTCCCCCTCCGCACGCTCCCGGGGATGAGCGGCGGAACCCTTGCAAGACCCAGAGGACTAGCTCCTTGGCGCAGAATCCAAAACCATCCAGGGGGAAAGGGAGACGCCGGGGAACTCCCGGACGGCCGTTTTTAAAGCCCCGCAGGCTTTAGAATAACCAGTCATGATTATTATTATTATTATTACGGTGGTTGCTCTTATTACCCACCACCCGCGAGGCAAAGGGAAGAAGAAGAAGAAGAGCCCTTCGCTCTCGATCCGACGTCGGGAACCGCCTCCCTTCCGCCCGCTCACGCCCGGACTTCCGGTTCCGCATCGCCCCGCCCACTGGAAGCCGGCCTCGAGGCGGGCCGATGGGCGGGGCCTGAGCGAGCTATAAAAGGCGGGCTTGGGCGCTCGCCTCGACTTGTGTGAGGAGCGGGTCGGTGCTTAGCTGTCGCCCTTCAGAGTGCGGTTGTTTTTTCTTTCTTTCTGAAGAATAGAGTCTCGGTTCCAGCGTGGAGGGGGGGAGCAGGTTCCTGTCCTGGCAATTTCCTCAGCCCACTGAGCAATTGGCCCCTAAAAGTTAAAGTAGCTGTCTTCCTGTTGGCAATGCTGGTGCCTAGAGTTTATCCTCAGCCTCTCTCTTCCCTCAGCCTCCCATCTGGCTGAGGGAAGGCTTATCTTCTAGACAGGACAGCAGGGCCTTGAGAAGACTTGCTGGCCGGGCAGGGCCGGCTCTAAGCCAAGGCTGAGTGGGCTCCAGTGCAGGGACACCAAAGGCTAGGGGTGCTAAAATTGAAAAGACTTCGGAAAAGCACCATTAAAATGAAAAGTAGTAACGGGTTAGGGTGTGTGAACCAGTGTGCCCACTCAAGGTTTAAATGTAGTTTTGGTGATGTAATTAAAATAACTCTGTAAGTAGGCTGAAAATATCCAGGAAAAGAAAGAAAAATGGTCCAGGGCTGAAAATCCTAAGTGTAAAGCTCAAAAAAAAAAAAAACAAAAAAAACCAA